TTAACGTATATTCGTGTACTTTTTCACTCTATTCCCACGTTATTGTAATATAACGAAAATTTCAGTGGACCCATTATTTACGCAAAATTTTTCACTCGCCCGGGGAATGGGATTTCATTAATGCATGGCATTGTACTCGCGCACGTCGCGCGTCTCCCGTTCGTCGTCGCTTCGTCGTCCGACTCCTCGTTACTGTGGTCTGTTTTCACGCAAAAAAGAGGAGAAACGACGTGGTACTATCAGTTAACACGTCCCATGCCCGGATTAATTTTACGCGGCTCCTCGTAGACGATGGTGGTTCACGTTGTCCTGTTGTGAGCGGAATTTTACACATCAAGTAACACGTGTCTCGCAATAATTATCAAAGTGTTTCATGATTATACTTCGCTTTGGCCGAAATATCAAACTCGCCTGAACGGAATTGAAGCAAATTCGGTGTAAACGTGAAGTTCAGCGTGTACCGTCGGCACGTGTTGAATCTCATTGGATGATACAAACTTAGCCAAGAGGTCCGACCATTTGCTGGCTATTACGCGTAAAAATTTCTTAACCGAAGGAAACGCTTTGCATCGATTAGCGCGATTCAGGGTCACACGTATCGAACGCTAAACATACCTTCCTGATTACCAAAATTGAAACAACATGCCGCGTGACGGTTTATATCGGAAGAATGGAACTCGGAATTAAAAGGGACGTACTCGGCGTTCGCTGTGCGAACGGGAAAGCCTTTTTTTCCTCGTAGACGATCGTCGTCTGCGACACGGGATATTTTTGTCGTATTCTTCGGTCACAGTGCAAACGGGGATAACCATGTCGAGCCTTCGTTCCATAGAGACGCTTAGAGTGTATCCTGACGTCTTTAAGGACGCCGCTTTCGTAACGCGAGCGGAACATATGGCGAGACCTCGTCCGTCCGAAGTGTACTGTGCTGCTCCACCCACCTCTCATCCCCCTTCGGAAACCATATTTTTCAGGGCACGGTCCTGTCTCTCTCTCTCTCTCTCGCAAACGGTCACGTTCGATTTGCTGCTTCTCGGGTTCGTGCGATTTCCACGGGTCGCAGGTAAAAGCGGCCGAAGGATAATGATTTACGCGCAGCTGGTGGTGGGAGCCCTCGGGGGCACACAAAGAATTTCACCCCCACCTCGAGCAGCGCGGCGGCCCCGACGTTTTAAGGCCCCGAGAATTCGGGCTGTTTTATATATATATATATATTGCCGTGTGCTCTCTCGCTTCTCTCGATCTCTTCCTCCCCCCCCCTTCCTCTCCCGTTCCCGAGAGAATCCATTACGCCGATCATCTGCTCGGCGATATCTCTCTCATTTTTGCGGCGTGTAGCTCGTCAGAACGATCGGCCGCCCCGATATACGACGTGTTACGCCAGATATTCCGCGAGACGCGCCGAGATGTTACATAAATCGAATCGCGAGCGCGCACGAGCGAGAAAGAGCCGCAGTGCCGGCCGAATTTCAGCAGGACGACGACGGCGCGGCGTTGTAACTCGTTGAGCCGAAATAATCATCCTCGACGATCGCGCGGGACCGGTCGGGCTCTCTCGGCCGTATGGTTATCGGCCATTTAACCAATTAGAGGTTACCGTCTAGATAGATATTTATACGGTCAATTAGGGTAATCGCGACAGCGAGGTAAACGCGCGCCGGGGCCCCGCGATATATACCCCACATTGTCTTTTTCCAATGGCGAAACGCGTAGTAGTCGCCGCTCTTTATTGACCTTGTAATGGGCATCGATTTTATCGCCCGGCAATATATCTTCCTGCGTCGTTGAATCGGCGAGATAGCGGCGAGAAATAGCGTGAAAAATAAGTGACGTTTCTGCAGCGACCTCTGAGCTTTCTCTCTCTTTCTCTCTCTCTCTCTCTCTCTCTCTCGATCCTCAATTTCTCCTTCTTACTTTTCCTTCAGGAGGAATGTTATCAGGCTTGGGGAAACCATTGTTGGTTGATAATATTATCTTTCGCGAGATAAAAAATTATCTTCCCTCGATCAGAGTAAATGTATTCACTAGCAACAATTGTCAACCCACGTCGGCACGCTCACCTCGTAAAGTTGTTCACGATCGTAAATCTAAAAGAACCTTAACGTAATCATTGGATCGCCCTTTTTCTTTCCGCTCGGCCGCGATCACGAGGAAAATCGCCCGCATTTCCGCGTTTCCCCGAGGTCCAGGAGTTCTTCCACGTGGTAAACGCGCCACGTGCGTTAAATGCGTCCATTATCGGACAACCTCGCGCGTACCGGGAAGCGCCCCGCGACGTTAACACGTTCAGGTCGGCCGTGAAGCCGGCGACGGCCGACCCATTTGAAACTTTCTCACGTTTCGCGACACAAATGACTATTCCGTGTTTCACGGCCGCGACTAGGAAGCGACGAGGTGATTTACAAGAGCGACTCGTCGCCGTCGTCGTCCCGTTTGTGCGTCACCGGCGATCCTTGGGCCGCCGCCATCGTCGTCGGCTTCGCTACACGCGGTCCGCGTTCGCTCTTTTCCTTTCCCGCACGGGTTTACTCGCCGCCTCGCGACCGAAAAGGACAATGCGCGGCTTTTCCTCTTCCTTTCCTAGCGATAACGCGCTTGATCCATGGATCTCTATCTCCGCCGTGTCTACCTGCATCTCGGCGATCGCGGAAGAGCGCGTCTATCGACGAATCAAACGGGGGACGTCATTCCGTATGTTGATCGCGGCCGCTATCGGCGTGTTCAATCGACATTCCGAGGAGCGGTGGTCTCTTCGAACTTTCGGGAAACGAAGGGAACAGTCCTCCTTCGATGTTTCTTCTTTGTTATTTATTTGTTTGAAAAATAACAATATAAATTTAACGACAATTAATAAATAATAATAGCTCTGCGTGTTTGCTTTGATGTGTGCGGTGTGCACGCACAATTAATACATGCGATCGTTCCGAGCATAATTTAGAGAAAAGCCGCTTCTTCAATTTTCCTTCGGAGAGAAACCGAAGAAGCTGCGGAACGTTTCGAACGAAAAATCTGGCTCTTCCGAACCCGTAAAACTATAACTCGGAGTAAACGACACACACAAGTAAAGAGCTGCAAAGAGAAATAACACGTGCGGAATATACACGAAGAAGTAAGGCAGTTTTGCTCGAGAACGAACGGAGGACATTCTAACGAGCGCTCCTCGTCTCTCCGCTTTCCCGTTCTCTAATTAATAACTGGACACTCGCGTTCTCATGAAGCTTCGAACTAGGATATTTGAACGATATTCGAGCACTGTCGAACGCTACACCGGCGAGCGGCGTCGGGACGAAGAGTAGATTATTGGGCCCGACGCCGCCTCGCGCTCTTTTCGGCGGAACGAGGATGAAGAAGTAGCCTTCGCCGGCGTTCTCGTACGCTCTTAAGGTCACGTCTCGCACCCGTACCTTGAAAAATCCGCGAGTCGCAATGCCGAACGCGCATACCGCGTCCTGACGTCACCGTGCGGCGTGCAAAAGTCGAGGTCGGAATACCGCAAGATCGAGATTCGGCGCTCGATCCGCGCTCGTTCTCGCTCCTACAATCTCCGTCTCGAAATCGCAATACGAGAGTCTCCGCGATTAGCGCGAGATACGCCGTTCGCGCGGTTTGTCACGCAGCGACAGCCGCGGGAAGCCGTGTGTTACCCGCGGCGTCGTGTAGCCCGGAGCGCTGCGTACACGCACACACACGTACGCTCAATCGTTCTCCGCCAAGTTCGCGAAGGCCACCGTGTACGAGTTGAGATGCGAGTCTGCCTCTCGGCCCGGCCTTGGTCACCCGCTTCCGTCAGCTGCGGGCTAATTGTGAATAACGTGTCGATACGTCACGCACGCACGCATATGCACGCACGTATGCACGAGCGAGGGGAGATTCGTGACGAGACGGCGAGCCTTTCCGTGTCGCGCCCGCTTCTTTGTAGCGTAATGTCGGAAATTACGACGAAACGGGAGCAGCCGCTCGCTTTATTACGGGTGTCGTGCGCGCTCTGCTCGTTTCTCACCGTCCTCTCTCTCGAACGTACGATTTCGGACGCACGATCGAAGCGGCGGACCCGCGATCGCGGTTGGTAGAAGAGGACGGGGGGGGGGGGGGNNGGGGGGGGGGGAGGCAAAAAAATGAGGAAGACGAAAGAAGCCGCGACCCGCATTTAACGTCCCACGTTCGCAGCCGCCCCTCCTACCCGTTCCGGCTGCTCGTGTTGTTCGTCTAAACGCGCGCGAAGGCCGCGTCGGCTAATAGGATGTATCGTAGGCTGATAATCATAATCACGCCGCGCTTTCGGGTTAGATTCACCGTGTCGATGTGGAAGCAACTTAAAGGCGAGGACGATCCACGAGATAGCGCGCGTGTTCGTACGGGAAACTGTTTCACGTTTCCTGTTATTTATACAGCGCTATTCTTGATGGAAAATGCGACAATCTCTCTCCTCGGCGGAAATGTCGAGCCGCCGGTGGCTTCGAGATGCCGGTAATCGGAAAAGTAGGTCTTCGTCGCTAAATGGAAAATAAGAAAATAAGAAATAAGAAAATTGTGTTCCATCACAATTTCAAGTGGATTTTACATCGGTTGAATTTTAGTTCGAGGCTCGATTTACACCGAGATAAAAGTACTTAAAACAGTTACTTGTAGGATATAAAATTTATTTCACAGAAATAAATTTATAATATCACCCGCAAATAAATTTGTCGGTACTTTTTTCCTCAGCGCGCAAATACGCGCTGACACTTGGAAACTCGCCTCAGCATTTCCGCCGGTTGAGAAGCGCCGTATTTTCATGAAGAACGTGCGCTGCGCATGTCATTTTTACCCCGTGTATTAATTTCGAGCGGGATGCCTCGCGAGTGGTATCGCGCCACGGTATTATCGAAGAGACACTAAGACGCTCCTCGAGATAAACGCGAGTTTTTCTAATATAGTACCGATAATATTGAACTGGGTTATCGCGACACGAACGAGGAAAATTGACCAAACGGGGCCGCTCGTCTGTTTCTCTGTTGCAGACGAAGAAGAACAATCCGAACCACATCAAGCGGCCCATGAACGCCTTCATGGTCTGGTCGCAGATCGAGCGCAGGAAGATCTGCGAGGTCCAGCCGGACATGCACAACGCCGAGATCAGCAAGCGTTTGGGCAAGGTGTGGAAGACGCTGAGCGAGTCGCAGAGGAAACCTTTCGTCGACGAGGCTGAGCGACTGAGGAAGCTCCACATGGTGGAGTACCCCGACTACAAGTACCGACCTAGGAAAAAGGCCTCGAAGCCGGCCCCGGCGCCGAAGACGAAGGAAAGCAAGAAACGAAAGACCTCATCGTCCTCGTCGGCATCGTCGTCGTCCAACAGCTCGGCCTCCGCCGGCAGCATCCTCGGCATCTCGTCGTTGTCACCCCTGTCAACGCCGATCCCCACTAGTCACAGGTCGAGGAACGACACGAACAACAACCACCACCACCACCAGTCGACGTCGGTGAAGAGATTGCAGTCGCACTCATCGAGCAGCAGGTCCATATCCAGGCTGAAGGTGAAGCTGGCCGCGGATGAGACTCACGTAGACTACACCCCGGCGCCGCCCAACGTCACTGCCAAGGTGCCGAGCAGTCCATCCTGCGCCACCCCGGACTCGCCCGAGTCCGCGATCTTCTACGACGACAATTTCCCCGAGTGCGCGGCCACGTCATCCGGCATGTGCGGCATCGCCGCTAAGATCAAGCAAGAGCCGGACATGGAAATAGAATACAAGTCCAGCTTCCCGTCGAAGGGCCGGCTGCTCAGCTCGTCCTTGGATATGATGTCGAGCGACAGAAGCAGGGAGTACTGTCGCGACTCCGGTAACCTCGAGCAGCAACCGCCAGCGGCGTTCCAAGTGAAGGAAGAGCTGATAGTGAAGGAAGAGCCGATGGAAACGCGTCCCCTGTCCAGGACAAGCTGCCCGCCGTCGGTGATGGTGACCGGCAGCCCGACGACGCCGACGCCCCACCTGTCGCCGGTTCTCACGCCTCACCTGTCCCCCGTGCTCCCGTCGGCGTTGATCATGCCGTCGCACGTGTCACCGGTGCTCCCGTCGACGCCGACCTTGTCAGCTCACGACATGTCGCACATGACGGCAACGGTGATGCTGACGACGGTGAGCGCGTCGCCCGCGCCGGCCACGGACTCCATGGCCGCCCTCAACGACCCGCTGGCCAACGACGGCACCCACGTGGTTAAGCTCGAGGAACTGATTAACGAGGCCGAGCTGTACGGCTTCGACCTGCTGCCGTCGTCCGAGATGGACCTCGAGCTGGACACCGACCTCGACAGGTATGACAACACCAGCTCCGTCAACGGCGCGCAGTTCAACTTCAGCCACTCGTCCGACGTCCACGACATGTTTTCCGACTACAACAGCAGCGAGTGGAATTTTTGTTGAAAGATCGAGCGGAGAGGCGAGCGGAAGAGACGGGGGAAGAACTATGACGACGTCGTCCTCGTCGTCGCTGTTATCTGGTTTGTAAGCGCCGACTCGCGACCGCGACGCGAACCTGAGTACAGCCGCGAACACAGGAGAGAGTTTGCCCGCGCGCTGTCCGCAGGTCGCGCGTCCGCCCGGAGGACGGCCTTCTTCTTCGACGCAACATCGTCAAGCGTGTCTCCGTCTTTTGTATTTTTGCGCGCCCGAGAGAGAAGAGGATTAACGCGCACCTCCTCTCGGTTGCCGACGAGTCGCGCGCCGTGGCGGTGTTCGAGCGTCCCTCGCGAGAAAGAGGGTTGTCCGGCAACGTCGTCCGCACTCGAAGTCGCGGTCAGCCTCCGCAACAGCGTGCGTCGTTTCTTTCGGTCTTCAGACGCGGGTAACGCTGAATGGAAAAGGGCAGAGAAAGAAGTAACGCGAATTGCGTCGGGGATAAGAGGCGCGCACGTACGTCAATTTCGTAGATTCCTGCTTCTCGAAAACGAACGCTGGAATCGAACACCCGACCGAGAGTCGAGATCCTCGCGTACGAACCGCGTTGGCTAATTCGCTCAAATACGCCGGACAACCCGGGGAAACGGGATCGTCGGAACGTTTCTCTCGGTCATATTCTCCGATCCCCCCCCCCGCTTTCGTCCGGTCGCTAGCGACACTCACTCGCGCTACTCGCATTCGGCGAATTCGGACGAAGACGAGAGAGAGAGAGAGAGAGAGGGGCAGTCGGACGTGAAGTAACACGTGTCCCAGGGCGCGCGGCGACTCGGCCATTTTTCTTCTTTTTTTGTATATGTACTGTAGTATACTAGCTGATAAGACTTTTGTACGAAGCTCGATATATATATATATATATATATCGGAAGCGCGGGCGGCCGAGGCCGCGTCGGCAGACGAGGCGCGGAGGAAGAATTCATTCGGAGGGCCGGCAAATTACACGCTGTCGTGGCAAATAGATATACAGGATACGAGTATTTGTACTCCCGAGTACAAGTCGAATATTTTACGAGTCGATTTCTCAGGTCGGACTGCGTTATCGCGTGTGAACGAATTTTCCTCGTGATAAGTAACCTCAAAAATCAACTCCTAAAACATGCCGGACGGTATACTTCGGAAGAGAAACACCCTGTAGATTTATTCACAACGTCCGCGGCGGATAACGAGCGGGGAGATACTCGTCGTGGCTCTCACGTGGCTATACGGAGGGCAGCGGGGCAAAAGTGAGAAGAGGAGGGGGAGGAGGTGGAGGCGGTTCACCTTGCCGCCACGACGCGGCCTACAGCGGCCCGCGCCTTTTTTTGTGCATACCGGTATATAGACGCGTAATATTAGTAATATATAACTCTTCGTAGCGTAAGCGAAAACGATACCGCAGCCAATGGCGGGGTGAGATCGGCGCGCGCGTCTCGAGCGGCCCGCCGACCGACCCGGCGTTCTTTCCGCCGCCGAGAGATCGACGGTTTCCTTCACCCACGAGGCGGCTCTCACATATTTTTTCGCTCCCTTCGCGTCGGACCACCGCCATCATCGCGTGTTTCACGCGCGAACGCGGCTGTCCGATACTCGTCGTGTCGCGGGAGCGATCGAGCGAGTCGAACTTTCGGAATCGGCAGATCAACGTCGAGGTCCAACAGCGCGACACTGAATCCTCGCGTCTCCTCGACGGCGCGTTCGTGAGAACGGTGAGTTTGTTTTCGGCTTTGTTTTCGCCTTCTTCTCTCGAGATTCGTCTCGCTTCGCCGAACAGCGCGCGCGTTTTTCGCGAGAAGGTCGGAAGACCGAAGGTGGCTTCCTTCGATCAAAAGGAGAGTTGTTGTTTCGTTTTTTCTTTCTCACCGATTTGGATTTTTTCACCCTGTCCTCGAGATCTGCACCTTTTTGATTGCACGAGCAGACGCGGAGCGCCGTAAAGATGGATCGCGATCGTACGGGAACCGCGGAGTCGCCTCGTGGAGTGTGGAGCCGTAACGAGAAACCGGAAAGTTCGCCGAGAGTGAGAGATTCGAGAAACCCGGATGGGGACGACGCGCTCCGAGGCGAGATTCCTCGCGGAGAACGTCGTCGTCGATCGGCACATAGGCGCGCGCGCGCGATCTTGCTCGCGAAGGGAGATACGCGTACCGATGATGACAACACAGGTGCTGAGGGATGCGTGATGCGCGTGGTGTCGCGATGTCAACGAGAGAGAGAGGGAGAGAAAGAAAGATATATGTATATATATATACATATAATATATATATATATATATATATGCATATAATCGCTTCGTTCTCTCGCGACGATAGCAATAACCGATATCAACGCGCACTCTCAGCTGGGGGAAACATCATCGTCGTCGTCGGTTTGCGAGAAGGAAGCAGACGAGAACGACCGGCAATCTGCGCCCGGTGATCGATCGGTACGCGTACGGTCCCGACCTTACGTGGGGGTATCTCGCCTCGAGTCCGTTGTTTCGGCAGGCCGACGGAAGACGGGTTTCTTCCGCGTGTATTGTACGCGTAGACGCGCAAAGAGGAAGGCGGATGGACAACGGGATGTTCTACGAATGCCCTCGCGGAACATCCTCGCGTTCTCTCCATGGATACGTCCTTCTCTTCGGCTGTTCGGACGAGAGCCGCGAGATTCTCGGCTTTTCGGTGACCTCGGCCGGATCCTTGTCGGGTTCTCCAAACGACGGTGGAAAACCGGCGAGGAACTCGCGGCTCGATCGCAGGTAAATGACTCGACGACGGTTCGTCGCGTATGAAGGATGCCCGAGGTTCTCCCCGACGATCGGTCCGAGTGACGGTCTTTCGATCCTCCGGGATTCCGCGGGTCGTGAAATTTCGCAGAAGGGAAGGACGAAATGGACGCGACGACAACCTCGACGTACCGCAGCGGATTTTCGCGGACGACTACGTCTCGAGAGGAGAGTGAAGAGAGAGAGGGAGAGGGTGGAAGAAAGAGGGAGAGGCAGTTCTGGTCTCTCTGAGCGGGAAACGGGGCAAGGATGGCAACGCGAGCGTTTCTCGGTGATCGATCGTGCGCACGATCCGACGCTAGATCTAGCGGTTGAGATCCAGCGGCGACGTCGGCGATCGAGCGATCGAGCGAACGAGCGAGCCTGCTGAAGTAGGTGAGATCGTGAGACGAGGCGACGCGAAGAGCGAGGTAAGCGAGCCACGCTTGGTCGCGCGCGCGCGCGCGCGCGGTTATCGATATGTCAAACTTTTGATCTCATGATATCTTTATGTTTACTTTTGCGTAGCGATTAATTTGACGATATATTCATAAACTGTCGCCACAGTCGACATCAGCAAAACTACCATTATTCTCTTTTCTACTTCTCGTTAAGATCTCTGCGCCGTATCTTCGTCCCCCTTTTCCTCCTTCTCACGTACTTTTTATTATTAATATTCATAATAATTAACGTTGTTTTCATCATTATATTATTATTATTATTATTATTAATATTATTATACTTGTAATTTTATTATAAGTATGTTTATATAATCTTAATTGTAATATTATTATTATTATTGTTTTTATTATTTTACTTAATTGTAATATTATTACTTTTTGCAATGCCGCAACACAAATATTATATCAACCTTTATTACCATCATTACTTTGTACTGTTACTATCGCCAGTATGCCGTCTCTATCGCCGGCAGGATTGTCTTCGCGCGGCGAAGAGAAGAAAGGATCGACTCGGGGAGACGAACGCCTCCGTCGATCAGGAAGGACGAGCGACGCGACATGTTCACGATTGGAGGCGACAATCGTCCTTTGAAGTTGACGAAAGAAAGAGAAACGGTGTTAGAGCGTTATCTCTTCGGTCGCGAAGGGTACAGATAAGGTGTAGACCCGGCGAGAATTTTCGCACTCCGAGGCGAGGATGCCGCTTATCTTCTTCTGTCTTTCTTATCTTTCCTTTCCTCACACGAGCGTGGCCGACGAGCGTCGTCATGCTACGCCAATTAATGCGCGTCACAAAGTGTTAACGGCTCGTCGCTTTCTTTTTTTCTCTTCTTTCTTTGGGTTTTCCCCCGGGAAACGATCGAGGACGGACAGCTCGTCCTCGGCGACGGGACGAGCGATGTTTGGCGAGAGAAAGGGAAGGGGAGGGAGTGAAGAAAAGGAAAGGGATGAAAGAAACCGAAACAGACCTGAGGGAAAAAATAGAAAGAGAACAAGATACAAAGGGAACACAGTGCCTACCACTTCGGTCTGGAAACTCGCGTACAAAAATCATATACAGGGCCAAGAAGAACAAAGTATAAGTGTTAGTGTTGATAGCTATTTACATGAAAAAAAAAAAAAAAAAGAGCGCAATAACAATTATTACGATACGGTTGCTGCCCGAAATTCTCGTCTCCTTAACTTAGGGCACGTCTCTCAGGAAGCTCATAGAGGTGATCGGATGTTGGTTCTCGGACGATAAGTTGGCGGGGGAGGGGATCGGAGAGGACACGAAGATCGGAAGACGCGCGCGTACAGTCAAAGAGGACAGAAGGGGGGAAGATTTCGCGATCGAGCGCGCGCGGAGAACGATGGGGGGGAGGCAGCGGGATGGGGAAAAGATCACATCGGCGCGCGCTTCGATCTCTCGCGAGTAACGGGCTGCGTCGATTCCGATCAGGCGAGCGAACGCTTCTCCATCGCGTCACATATCAACGGGCAAAATCCGCGTAACGCCAACGCGTTCTCACTTCATCGCTCGCAGTCGTAGAACGCAGTCGATACATCGCGGCGCGACTCGCCAGGAGGGAGAAGACGCGACTATCACACTGCCGTCGGAAATACGCGTCTCGTAATTCGCGCACAGCCAGCCGTTCCCCGCGCTTTTTCCTTCTTGACGAGGTCGTCGAAAATAACACCGTTGATTCGGGTGATTCGCTTGGAAAATTGATAACCCGAATTCCGCCGCGGGAAGGAAGCGACGGACGCGCGTTATTCGACTCGTCACGAGCCGTCGGAGGGGCTTCTTCGGGACTTTAGGCGGCGGTAACGAGTAATCGCGCGACGGACGTGAATTCAAATATCATAAATTAGTCGGGCAATTTGCAGCCGAGCGCATACGACGGCGACGAAGGGCACTTGTGCAAACAGAAAGAGAGAGGGAGAGGAGGGGAGGGGGGAGGAAAGGGTGAAGCGACGGCTTCGCACGGGGGAAGAAAACCGACCGCGAACCGAACGGAGCTCTCCACCTTTTAACGCTTAATTCTCCTTCGCGACTCGCTTTGTGGCTCCGCGAAAGCCATTGTTCGCGCGGATAGAGATCGACGATAAGGTACGCAACGTGCATCGCCACTTAGGCACGTGTGTGTGTGTGTGTGTATGTGTGTACGCATGCATGTACGTGCGTGCGTGTCGTCGTAGTAGTTGGGTCGCAGTTCGCACGCGTGAGAGACCCCGAACTCTCTCGCGTCTCTCTCGAGACACGATTATGGACGAGTGCGTGTACGAGTGCGGGGAAGCAGGCTGAATTCTTACGAATTCGAAGCGGACCCGAGCGCGCAGAACGCAGGACCGGAGACGCGGGGAGCGACGTTAGCGCGAGAATCGGGCGATCTCGAGACGAGTGAATTCAAAGCTCGCACGATGGAAGATACGCGACGACGTAGGGGAGGAATGAAAAAAGGAACCGACGGCATCGAAACGAATAGTATCGGCGATGATCGCTGATTTACGAGCGAAAAAATTGGGTTTCCGGGAAAGAGAGAGAGAGAGAAAGAGAGAGAAATGGGGTGGGGAAGGAATACGAAGACCACGATATCTTCTACGTTCGACATGATACGTCGTATATTACAGAGTTCCTCCGACGCGAATGATAATGCGCGCATCTCTCCCCGATCGAAAGAAAAGGAGAAAAGGAAAGATCGCTCGGCACGTGAAGAACCGGCTTGCGTGGGTCGCTACTCTTTTTTTTTTTTTTCAACACTGTCCGAAGTTCGATCAACTTTTTCCGAGCGTTCGCGAATTTATGTCCGGCGCCACGTGAGATTATATTATTATTCGCCAGGTGAAACTTCGTCCGAACACACATCCGTATTGCGACCGCAAGTTTGCTCGTGTTGTCGAGGACAAGAGACAGGCGCGGAAAGAGACAAGGAGGAATCGTCAATCTCTCTCTCTCTCTCTCTCTCTCTCCCTCTCTCTCTCTCTCTCTCTCTCTCTTGGGGCGGATAGTGAGAGCGGGAATTTCGTATGCGAGCGAGAGTATGACAGCGAGACTCTAATCGATGGATATTTACATTATATACATTATATACATACATATTATGGAAGCGACCAAGAAAAAGAGCAAGTTAACAAACAAGTGTTACAATATATATATATGTACTTTGTAACATATATATATATGTGTACTTTGTAACATATATATATATATATATATACTTTGTAACATATATATATATATATATATGTATGAAACAGAATACGCGTAGTTGTATGTTGAAAAAAAAAAAGAAAAGTCGCGGCGCCGCGAAGAACGCAAGACGATGCCGACGTATTATTCTGTTTTTCTTGCTACTTTCCCGTGGAATCCGTGCCGCGCCGGGGAGAACGCGGCGAAAACTCGGGTTCAGTGCTTCCATCAGATTCGGCCGCTAGAAATTCTCCCCTTCGTGTTTCCACTCGGGTGGAAAGAGTTACGCGGTGGTGCTACGCGAAAAACGGGCGACTTCGCACGACGTATTCCCGTCGATTTTCTGTTGACCCCCGGTAACGTGATTTCTCTCGGCCTCCGGGGAGAAAGTGACAAGCGGAAAATAACACAAACACATCGCGATCGTGGAATATAAATCAACGGGCAAGTTTCAGTTTACACGTGCGATTTTTAAACAATATGACTCGTTAACTCGCGAACTTATCGCGGTTGCGATCTCCCGAACTTCCCAGGGACATCTTGAAGGCTTTTAAAAAGATGCCTGTCAAAAGTAAAGAGGATCCTTTGGAGGTTCGTGTCGCACGGGGGAGGGGGTGGGGGAGAATAAAAGCCGCGACCAGCTCTCGCGTGTGTTCCCAATTATTACGAAACGCGCGTTGTCCGACGATAAGCGCGAAGAATACACGGAAGCGCGCGCGTGCGCCGACGTGTCTCGGTTTCTCCCGATCGCGTTCGTATTTTCTTGCTCTCTTCGCGCCGCAACCGCCTTCTATCTTTACGGAAATACCGTGCGTCGTCGATGCGACTCGGGGATCGCGCGAGCGATCTCTTTTACTTTCCATTGTCCGATCTCCGATAAACGTGCGTGTTACCGTAGCAGATGTCGCGCGTTCTCCGTTATGCGTGCACAGCGTCGCTGCGTTGTCGGAGGAGCGCGCGGGAGAAAGGGGGAAGCCGCCGCCTCCGCTTACAAATCGCTGCTCAAATAAATCGTAAGCCGTGTGTGATAATAACGCATCGCTGCGGTCACTCCCGAGTCGCGTCGACGACGCATTCCCGTGTTGCAATTAGGATTTTTCAATTTTCGACGAAATTTCACTGGATAACACTTAATAAACTTAGACGCACGCGAGTGCGCGCACACTCGAGCCGGTAGTATCGTTCGAGTCGCGATCGGCCGTGCAATCGATTGCCAACGTGACCTTATCAGACGTCGTCGAAACGCGTCTTTTGCAATTAGTTTTTTTTCTTTGTCAATTCGTTTTTTTTTCTTTGTTTTTTTTTTTCGTTGCTTAGCTTTGAGATTTTAATAATGAACGAGTCCCTCGTAATTTAATTTGTGTTCGAGTCGATGTTTAATTTATTTAACTTAATTAGTTTCTTTAACTTAAATATCGTAGTCTTAATTTCTCTTTGTGACACTTTAACGTGATATCGTAAGTATTTCGTTGAAATCGCGGCGATTCCCGAACGACGGCACGTGTGTGCGCGCTCTCGTTGTATTCGTAATATAAATATGCATACACATGTATACATATGCATATATATATATATATATGTATGTATGTATGTATGTGTATGTTTGTACATGTGTATGTGTGTGTGTGTGTGTGTATTCGTATGTATGAACGCGAAAGCGATAAATAGATGTGTAGTAGTTTTTAACAAATTCTTAGCGTGTATATATGTCCAATTGAGAGAGAACGTCAGAGGGAGACGAGAAGCGAGAGGAGGAGGAGGAGGTTTTGATATTTCGAGGGCGCGCGACTACGAAGCGTGCCGCAGTTACATTTGGTGTACATGTAATAAGATTTATCGAGAGCTAATCGTTAACACTATCGGTCGCCATTATTTACGGTTGACGTGTAATATCTATGGTCAGGTAATACCATTCGTGTACCTTAGGCATTTGTCGCGTGACATGTAATCGCTTGTATATCGATATACGAGAACGCCGGCAGGTTTTTCCGCATGCTTTCTTTCCTTTGTACAAAAAC